TTCTGAGTACAAGGGCCAATATCATGTGCAAAAGCTTTTATTACAGGTTCTGCATTGTTTTCCCATAGTTATGGCTTATTTGTCACTTGGCTAATCACAAACAGACAAAACCGTATCAGTTTAATAAAGTGAAACCAACATTACAAGTCAGTTTAGTATTCTTGGAGAAAAGACACCCCCAAAAGTTCTTTAAAACACACATACTTGAGATTTCAAAATTAACGGAATTCACCCATCATTAGATACTGGTTGCCTTCTTTTCTTCGACAGATATCCTGACTAATACCTGTCCAAATGGTTATTGGAGAGTTTCGTTTTCAAAAAGGAGGGGGAAACGATCTTCAAATTGTCTCTTCCTGCACAAGCATTTCAGTGAACAAACAGCTTTCTAGTGTGGGTGTTAGTAAGATCCCATCTGTAGATTACGAAATAATTCTCACCTTTCACCATGTGTTTTTTTTGGATTGCAATGCTTAGTAATATCATCCTGTTTTTTTGTATCAGCTTCTGTTTGGCACCTCACACAAGAGTTTTCTGAAGAAGTCCAGACCTTAAAAGTCAGTGCACATATTCACACATGATGTTATTAGGTAGATGATTGACAGCCATCTATCTATAGGAACACATGGCAAAAAGATATGCCACTGTCTGTTGCTTATAGATAACTCCCCAAAACATTTTAAAAGGCAAGTGGAATTTGTATTAGGGATACTTATGCTTTAAATATGTTAATAGAAACCTAGGGCACAAAGCACTAAGTATTAGAATGGATTCACTTAAACTAACTCAGGCCCACTGACTTAAGTGTCAAAAGCAAGTGCACTTGATATAGAATGATTGGCACTTAACATAGAGGACTGGCAATTACAGCTCTAGTGGCCTGCATGTTTCAAAACATTCATGCAATTAAACTCTATCTTATTTAATTTCAAAGGGGGAAAAACCTGTCAAAAATGAAAGGATCAAATGAAAGGGAAGAGACAAAGATGGAGAATTCAGAATGAAGGAAGACCATTTAAAACCAAGACAATATAAGCTCAGCTAGAATGTATACAGGAAGTTAGGAAAGGACAAGCAAGCTGAAGAGTACACCAATCTTCACCTGCTGATTTTTGCTGCTGGAAGGGCTGAGACAAGATGAGCCATGGAAAAAACCAGCACCACTGGTGTTTCCACATGCAGTATCCAGCATCAGGCTGCTATGGGGGTGAGGTGGGGCAGGGCGGCAGATAACAGCTTCCCGTGCATCTGTTGAGGTTCCTTTAATTGCTGTTAAGGAAAATCTGGTGCATGTGCTTCCCTTATCTTGCAGGTCTTGTGATTTAGTGTTTGAAGGTCACTGACCTGGCAACCAGCCAAGTAGGTCACTGTGACCTGACCAAGGGTGAGGTCATTCTTGAGTATATTAAGAGGGGGCTGTACATTGGCCTCTTTGCTTCACTGCAAGGAAGCTCTGCCAGATTGATACTGAACTCTGTGCTGTATGTATGCTGTGAGGTGCCCTTGCTTTGCATTTGAAGCCTGCACCTTCTACTAGGGATCCAGTGGAAGCCTGTTTATAGTGAAACTGGAGAGTTGGAGTCGGTCTCAATTTCTTCCAGCACAAAACTGCACTGCCATGAACCTACACGCTTGGGGAGCTGCACTCGTTTGGCACATGCCATAGGCCAACACCTACATGGGCCAGTTCCTCTGGGATGGACCCAGTGCAACCCTGGAGCTGGAAAGCTAACAAGCAGCCGCATCTGATGGCCAGAGGTAGCCAGCAGGGCTTCAGATAAGGCTTTTGAAACAGAACTTCACCCTGCTGTTTCTGCCAAAGGTTTGGTATACTGCTCTCTTCCTATAAACCAGCAAGGGGCCAAACCCGTTATCCAGGAGATGAGACTGGGCTGGGCGTGAGACCATGAGAAAAACTGCTGTTTCCACTTCCTACTTACAGGCTTCCACCTCCTGCTGGAAAGAGGATGCTGAATAAACACACAAGATGTAACCGGCTGTACTTTTGAATAAAGAAGGTATACTATTCATTGTATCAAATTGTAGATTTCAACGGAAGTTTCATAAAGTTCAACAAAAAAAGCAGAAGACCCAGTAGATCAGTTCATTCTCTAGTCAGTTCATGCATAAGATCCATACATGTATAAGTGTCTATTCTACCTGTCTGTTCATAGAGTCCAATAATCCATATGAAGGGTTGTTAGTTCCACAGAATCCTTTCACAGAGTCTAAGACAAGGATTTCCGGAATATTAGCCTTGTTTCGCTATCCTAGGCTTCATCAGTAGAACAGGCTCATATGTAATATTACAGGATAGTGGCTCTTATAGCATATATCTGACTTGGTACAAGGCAGCTTCCTATATTCCTGTCTTGGAAGTTGTGAAATGGAAGGGTGGCTATAAAAGTTTAAAATGAACAAACCAATTAAAGGCTGTACTTGGTGCCTGAACTGACACTAAGTACACCAAGTTTCAGTTACGAAACAAAGTCTACTTCATTATCTATAGGTTTTCTCCAAATATCCCATTAAGTTGTCATCAATGTTTTTCACTTTACAACTTGCAGGAGACTGTAGCTCATTACAGACGTTGTCAATAAAACAACGTGTGACAATTTAAACTATACCAAATGAAGTAGGTCATGTCACTTTAATTATTCTTTATCAGCATTTGCCTTACACTCCTGAAAGATAAAATTTGTTTGGCACTCCTGAAAGATAAAACACAGACCAGGTTCTGTAGAAATCAATATATTGGTGCCTAATATAGTGGGGGAAAGATTTAGTGGGGAGAAAGATTATCTTAAACAATCACACTAAGAAAATCAGCTGTATCTACCTGTGATTGCTGTCTATGTTATGATTGGGTAACATGGACTGCAATTCCTATCACCCTTGATCATCCATCATACTGGTTGGGGGTGATGGATGTAGGCTTATCAACATCTGAAGGGTCACAGGTTTCCCACCCCTGGCTTGTATTATATGTTGGCATCCAACTGTCTTGAGAGACAATGAAGTGTGCCTCCAGGGGTGAAGTCAAACAGCTGTATTAGGAACAGAGAAGGTGCAAGTGTGGGCACTGTGGATGGAAGTCCTGGGTTGCCCAGACGACAAGAACTCTCTCTTGGTCTCACTGATATGGTCCAAAGGAAAGCAGAGCAATATGTTTGGCACCAGCTTGGCTGCAGGAGTTGCTGGAAGGAGGTGTACAAGGTGCCATCCAACTGCCCTATGGACAGGACTCTGGATTTGTGTAGGGTTTACTCCTTAGGCTTTTCTTCTCCTGAAGATTTGTTATTATATTTATTTATTTATTACATGTATTGTATCTTATAAGCTTACAATGACTGAGAAAACTTGCAGATACTGGGGGGGGGGGGGAATTGTATCACAGAATATCCCACAAAGCCTTGTGTCTGTTGTATTGCACAAATGGACTTCTGTTTGTGGAGCTAATAACAGCTTATTTCTGAACTTTACTCATGCAAGCCATGTTCCCAAATGAGCAGTGCAACATGCGATGAGCAAGCATTCCTTTAACAACGTTGCAGCAGCTGCCATGAACAAGGAAGTATATTTTATTCACAGTGGTGCATCAGCACAGTTGTGTGAGCTTCTGCCTCATACGTTACTCCAAATCATAAACCAATTTACAATTTGTTGAATGTAAATAAAGTGACTTTTAATATAAACTGACCAGGATATTGCCAACTATATATTGATCAGGATACGTTTTCACACTTTGTGATCAAAAATAAAGTAAAATAAAATGCTGCACTAGCAGACCTATTTTGATCTTGATCTGGTGTTCAATAATTCACTATGTCTGGCTTGAATTCTGTTACTTAGTGGCATGGAATAATCTTATGGTCCCCATGGCAAATATAATTTAAGAAAAATGTATTATGCTTAAAAAGAAAACATTTGATGTCCATATGTTTGGAAATCTCACCTAAGCTATTTTTAGATATGCGGCCCTGACTAATGTGCCAAAAAAAAGAAACAGAAAACCAGCGAGCACTTTTTAAGACGCTAAGCTTCTGTAGGCCTTAAAATCCATTATGACTTTTAGAGTATAATCCAAACTCCCTTCCCCCAACAGCTGGTGGGGTTTTGCAGAATATTTGGGCTACCCCAATATCTGTAGCCCTGCCACGCTTGGCAGCCATGATGGAAGATGGGAAGGGAAAGACAAGCAGACCAACCCAGGCCTGATTGCTTTGCCAGCTACAGGCTGGTGCAGCAATCAACCCCATTGCCAACACATGACCAGCTCCGGATCTAGTGGATCCAAGGCTGGCTCAGCCCACCCCACTCCTGGAATGCCCAGTTTCAGGGCTTTTTGCTGGGTTCTGTCTGTGGATAGGCCACTGACAGCGCTCTTGCCTGTCCATTCAGCAGGCAGAAGGTGGGAGCACAAAAAGGGGGGGAAAGCCTCATTCTTTTTGCTAGATTTGCCACTGCCTGTTTTGAAGTGGTGGCAAGCATTTTAGATTCAAGTAATCTGAAGGGGGAAACAGAATTTGCATTTCTGAAACCAGTAAGAATAAACTTAATAAACTTATTTAGATGAAAGCCCCTGTCCCCCCCCCACGAAAAAGGAATAACTAGCACAGGGCCTCCCAAGCCAGTTTTGCACCACAGCATTGAGGAGGGGGCTTAAAGCCCCCCCCCCTGTAATCCCAATCCAAAAATGTCCCATTCCACCTGTTTACAATGGGAGGAAATTTCCCACCCCCTTCAATTCCAGCTATTTGTTTATGTAATAAAAATCAACACACAAGGACGAAAGATGCAAATGATGCCAAATTAGATCATGCCTAATTTGATTCTGAAATGCATGCTTTCAGAGCAGCATAGGCCAATGCAAACCGATAGTCTGACTTCATAGCACGAATAACATTTCCTCCTGAATATACTGCAACCATTCAGTATTTGTCTTTATTTTTTTTACTACCAGAGAAGAGTACTAACTAATATTTCCAAACATTTCTTACCTCCAGAATGAGTTGATGGCCCACACAGCAGAACAACCCCTTGTCCTTCTCGTACAGACACAGTGCTTCTCATTTTTGTCTTTAAGTTTTCAAGATCTGTTTATTTTATTTTTCCAAAAGAAGGGAAATAAACATGTTAGCAAACAGATATCAACAAAAAAAGCAAGGTTTTTGTTTCAGTACCTTTTGTCCTAAAAATGGTAGTTTCCCCATTAATTTAAATGAGATAATTGGTCATGGGGAGCCAATTCCATATGAAATGCTTCTACAGAATGTCCATTATTACCAGGGGTGTTTCCAAGGTTCATCAGTCATTGTTTCGGTATAAGAGCAAACCTCAGCAAGTCACAACGCTTGCCTTTCCTCCTTCCCACTTCTGCCCATTCACTTATTTAGCTAGGTGCGGCAGGATGTGGTGATGGTAGTGGCAAAGCGGTAAGGGGGTCTCTCCTTCCTCCCCTTGTTCCTTCTCCCTACCACCTAGAACACTGCTATGACATGAGCATGAGCATCCCCGGGGCACTTAATAACCATATTAACATCCTGGAAAATTACCGTACTTTTCCGTGTATAAGACAAGCTTTTTTTTTACTCTAAAATAATGTTCAAAACGCGGGTGGCGCTGTGGGTAAAAGCCTCAGCGCCTAGGGCTTGCCGATCGAAAGGTCGGCGGTTCGAATCCCCGCGGCGGGGTGCGCTCCCGTTGCTCGGTCCCAGCGCCTGCCAACCTAGCACTTCGAAAGCACCTTCGGGTGCAAGTAGATAAATAGGGACCGCTTACCAGCGGGAAGGTAAACGGCGTTCCGTGTGCTGCGCTGGCTCACCAGATGCAGCTTTGTCACGCTGGCCACGTGACCCGGAAGTGTCTCCGGACAGCGCTGGCCCCCGGCCTCTTGAGTGAGATGGGCGCACAACCCTAGAGTCTTTCAAGACTGGCCCGTACGGGCAGGGGTACCTTTACCTTTACCTAATGTTCAAAATTAGGACTCGTCTTATAAATGGATAGTGCAGAGGGGGGGGTGGGCAATTGGTTGCAGCCACGAGCAGGAGCTTGTCAGTGGCGATTGGGTAGCTGATTGGTGGCTGCAACAAGATCTGCCTTGGATTGGCTGTTGCTGCGGTGACTGGGTGGGTGATTTTTGGATGTGGCAAGGGTGTGCGCTCGGCGGCTGCTGCTGGTGAGCGGGCAGACGCCTCTTTGCTTCTGTGACACGTGCGATTGGCAGAGTTTGTCAGTCTGGTGAGTGATTTTTGGCATTCCTCCCCCCAAAAAGCTCAACAGCTCTGGGCCATCTCCCCCCATTTTCTTAAATTTGAGTCAGTGGTACAGTGGTACCTTGGGTTACATACGCTTCAGGTTACACACTCCGCTAACCCAGAAATAGTGCTTCAGGTTAAGAACTTTGCTTCAGGATAAGAACAGAAATTGGGCTCCGGCGGCGCGGCAGCAGCAGGAGGCCCCATTAGCTAAAGTGGTGCTTCAGGTTAAGAACAGTTTCAGGTTAAGTATGGACCTCCGGACCGAATTAAGTACTTAACCTGAGGTACCACTGTATTTCCTGGGCATACTGCAGCTTAGTTGCTTTCCTGCTATGGTTGGGAATGGTTTTATGTCTGCTTATATTTTAATATTGTATCCAACAAGTTCTACTTGGGAGTAGACCCACTGAAATTAACATGGGCCAGCCAGGTCTATTAACTTCAGTGGGTCTACTCTGAGTAGGACTAGCACTGCATACAACAATGTGTCATTTTAGAGAGAGAGAGCATATGCATTTTAAAAAGTTTTAATGCTTTAACATAAATTAGTATAGGATACAAGCGGGGGGTGGGGAGTAGGACAGGCCAGATATAAATTGATAGGGGGAAAATAAGTTATTTCAAAATATGGACTATGGTGCTCAGCTGAACAGCCTAGGCCACTCATAAGGATTAAAGGACCAAGCCAGCTATTTTCCTAAAATACCTCTAGTGCATTTCTCATCTAGATGTCTCCATATATACTGCACATTCCCCATGTTTATTGGGGCATGTCACCCCGCCATAGATACACTCATACAGCCTCTGTTTTCTCCAAATTATAAACTAGCGTAAAGGGAGGTACATTCAATTCAGTCAGGTCAGAGAACTGCCAGGCAGCAACAGTTTCAACAGCCTGTATTTTTGTTTACAGTTATATAAAGCATAGCTACTCAGGTACAGATGTTCAATGATGCACCCAAAGGACACTTCAAAGTAAACTATCTTTCCAACAACACATAATGAAAATTGGAGTGACCAAAAATAGTTATTCTGTGCAATGTAAAGTCTTTCCCAATTTTTTTAAAAAAGCAACAGCAGATGTTCACCGAAGCCACTTAAACAACAGTAATTTGGCATTTCAATGCCTCATTATTCTAAAGAACAAACTGTTGAATGCAATCACACCACTGCTGGTGTACTGCAACCTCATCCAGTTATTTTAAAGCTTTTAGAATAGCTAACTAAATAAATAACACATAAATAACACACTTGTGAGCTCTTGATAATAGGGTTAGTAAAATGCAAAGCATTACTAGTGTAATTTTAGCAAGCACTCTTAATTCCTTCATAGTTGCAGGTTTCATCTGGAATGCACAAATGCACAAAGCAAAGATGGAAACATATTTGATTATTTTTGATTCTTTAATACCTATTTTTCTATTAAAAATATCTCTAACCAGTACAGAAAACTGAAGCAACAACAGACAACTTATTATTATTTTATTTCTTTAATTTGTATGCCACCCTATACCCAGAGGTCTCAGGGCGGTTCACAGTACAAAATCAAAATATAAAACCACAAAATGCACAATCAAAATAAAAACAACAACCTAATTTGCCCCAACCCGCCCCCTCCAATTTTAAAGGGCATAGGATGTCAATTAACTCAACCAAAGGCCTGGATAAAAAGGAATGTTTTTGCCTGGTGCCTAAAGGTATATAATGAAAATATTAGAAATATACACAGTTACATATAAAAAGCTATGTTGAAACAAAGTTACGAATATATAAAAAATGGTATAAGTTCATTTTCCTTCTAAAACTCTTCCTCTCGGCCTTTGGGTTCTCACCCACAAAAGTCTGACAATGAGAAGAGTACCTGGAAACAGTGGACATCACCCTAGTCTCTCACTCTAGACTTGCTTTTTATGGGCAGGTGGATGGGACTTCCTCAGGCAGCCCACAGCTGTGTCCAATTCAGCTGCACTCTCCACACCCAGTTCCAGGTACAGCAGGTTTGTTGAGTTTCCCAAAGGATGGGAAGAGGACCTCGTTCCACTCACAGCTCTTTCTTCACCCTCTGTCCTCTCCTCCTCCTCCAGCTGCCTGTGATTCCCTGATTATACTTTTGTACTTGTGCCTAACTGTCCTGGTTTCCCCCTTCTGTGCTGTGCAGTGTTTCTTTCCTAGCATATATTTTCCTAAGGATGTTGTCATGCTGCAATTTGCATGGTCACCAACAGGTGACACTGCAAATTACAGCACGATGACAAACTAGGGTCTCAGACCTGCTGGGTTATCACAGCAGCATCAGGAGGAGGAGGAACCAGAGGCAGACAGGCTAATAGGTGGTTGAGGCTGGTGAGCAGCAGAGGCCAGGAAGTGGAAGTTGGGAGAAGTCTAAAAGGAGAGGATTGGGTTGTTTTGGAAAAGAGCACGGGAAGGGGAGGTTTTGGAAAAGAGAATGGGGAGGGAGCAGCTTTGGAGAGGAGTATAGGGAGCAGGTAGTTTTGTCAAGGACTATGGGAAGGGCTTCTATTAAGCCTTTGGAGATGGAAGGTGTGGCTATGGTTAGAAGCCCCCTTGAGATGAGTCTCACTGGCATCTTCCCATCACTGGGCAACCTGCAATATCCAGCATGCCCTGCTCCCCATACCCAAACTCCCTCTCTGTCCAATGGGGCAGTCACAGTCCTTGCAAAATGCGAGAATAGTAACACTTTCCAAAATATCTGATGTTTCCGGGGGGGGGGGTGTCACTGAAAGCTGGTCACTTTTCTTGGGATGTACAGTGGTGCCTCTGGTTACGTATTTAATTCGTTCTGGAGGTCCGTTCTTAACCTGAAACTGTTCTTAACCTGAAGCACCACTTTAGCTAATGGGGCCTCCCACTGCTACCAAGCCGCTGCTGCACGATTTCTGTTCTCATCCTGAAGCAAAGTTCTTAACCTGTACTATTTCTGGGTTAGCGGAGTCTGTAACCTGAAGCGTATGCAACCTGAAGCATATGTAACCCAAGGTACCACTGTATCTAACTAGCAAACTAAATAATAAGTAGAACTATGGTATGTAACCATTTGTAACAGAAGAATATTTTTTATAGAATGGCCTCCTCTTATAGATGTATGACTAAAAAATAATATTATTTCAGTTTTGGAATAAGGTGTTTGTGAGATCAAACAAACAATTGCTCTATCTTTCCACCTAGTGCTTTTGAACCTGTACATAGAAACTGAATGGGACTTGAAAAGTAAATACTGTAATTTATCTCACATCAGTTAACAGCAGCCCAGGCTCCATTGCCAAGTCCTAGAATATCTTCTATCTTAATAATTTGGATTGTTGGCACTCTAGGGTATGCCTCCGTTTGTTTTAATTATGTTTTTATTGTTGCATAGTTAATTAATGCATGGTTCATTTTATGTTCTGTATCTGACCCTGATATCAATAGATAAAAACAGGTTATAAATATTTTTAAAAATGCAGTGATAGCCAAACTCTGAGTGAGTGGACTTTCACTCATACAATGACACTCCCCCGCTGCAGTCCACAGCACACACCACTCTAGACAAGATTTTGAGGGTGTGCAGGGGTTGATGGAGAAGAGGGAGAAACCTTGTAATGTAAGCAGAAGTCCATTGCAACATCAGGTGGGCCTCACTTGAATGTCAACCAGTAATAATAGACATCATAAATTACAGCTTCTGGAGATCTAGAACCGATTTGCGGCTAACAAGATTTCCTTGATGGTGCTGGGGCTTTCTGAAACACTGGGAATGGTTTGATAGTGAAACAACTAGTCTCTCCTTCAAGTACGGAAGCAGTTCTGTCCATAATGGAAAACAAGTGTATCTT